ATATAAATAAGGAGATAAAGATTGATGAATTTAATCTAATTGGTTCCGAAATTGGGGCGCGACTTCTTATAATCGCTCGAAATAAGAAAGAAAAAAATGTCTATTTGATAATGGATCCATTTACATCTTCAGATCCTGTAGATGCTAGTAAGCTCCTTAGTTATTCTGAAATTTTAGACGCGCAAAACCAATTTCAATATCCTTGCATTATAAAATCTGATAAAATTATAGGTTTTATTGATAAAAATTTAGTAATTAAGGAATTAATTCCAGACAAAGAAAATTGGGTCTTATATTTAAGAAAGACGTTAGAAGATGCCAACAATATCTTTATCTCGTCAGCTAATGAAAAAATTTTAAGATTTATTAAATTATTTCTTAAACCATCCGATGAAGATACTGAGTTTATTCAAAATGAGAATATTCATAAAATATCTGAGAATATTCATAAGACATCTGAGAATATTTATATATTTGAGAAATATCTTGTTAGGTGGACTTTGCAATGTGATAAAGAAAGAGATATTCTTATAGCAGAATCTCTTAAACCAGGGGAAAAGAATTCATGCACAATAAATTTTCGTCCAAGTTATTATAAGGAACCAAAACCATTTACAATAAGTTCGATTTGTTTAGAGAATGATAATTTAGTTGTTCGTGCAGAATTCTGTTTGCTTGTTTGGTCATTTAGTGCAAAAAAAGGAATACAGTTGATTTATTGTTGGCATATTTATGATTATGATGATAAGGTCATTGAAGATTTCCAATCTGCAAAGTATTTTCTTCCAGCACCAACTTACGATTTTTATAAACATATATCCTTTCAACAAGAGGATGGAAAAAGATATTTTGTGGAAGAACTATTAGATGAACATATTGATAATGATTTTTTTTTAATGATTTATGGACAAAAACTCATAGAATCTTTTATTGATAATGATAGAGACATCCAATTACGAAAGTTGTGTAATAGATGCTTTGATCTTGTTTTCGAGAGTACCGATTTACCTCCAAATACACAGCTATTTAGAATAATTTCCCAGTCAATTACAAAAATAGCTAAATCAAATCCAACATTCTTTGCAAACTTTGTAATACGGATCTTTTTTTTGTATATTTTTGACGAATCGTATTTACAAGAAAATTTGGATACACACGCAAAAATTCGTCTAAAACACCTTCATCATTACGGAAGTTATAGTAGATTATCTAAATCAACATATTTAGATTATTTAGATTCTTTAGTGAATATTTTTTTCCACAGCTCTCTTCTAAATTACAAATATATACGTAAAATAATTAGATGGTATAAAAGGTATCAAGATGAAAAGCAAATTGATTATGAAAATCCAAAATTACCCCTAATGTCTCCTTTACCTGGTTTTGTTAGTTATCCTAAATATGATAGTTTTTGGAAGGAACTAATTAACCCACAACTTAGTTGTTTTATAGAGTTTGAAGATCTTTCTTTTTACGAAACTTGGAATGGTGAAGCAATTATTAATTTTAAATGGGATACTTTTGGTAGAAACTATTATTACGCAATTTGGGCAGTATATACAGTGTTTCTTTGTAGCTTTGTTATTGTTGCCACGTTTTCTGATAATATTTCTTGGCATTACCAAAAATTTTTCTTAACCACTGCCGTAATTCTTGGATTCTGGCACTTATTTTTGGAAATTCGTCAATTTATTCATTCACCCTCAAATTATTTATCAAGTATTTGGAATTATATAGGTAAATTTATTATTATTAAAATGCCTATTAACGTAAACATAAACTAATTTGATGTTTTTCTAATAGATCTTAGTGCAGTAATATCCACGATAGTTACTTCTATCTGTTGGCTAAAATATGGATCTGCCTCAACTTCAGCCATTACGTTTACAACTTTGTTTCTTGAATTAAGATTTATTGTCTTTTTTCGAACCATTTCATTTTTTGGAATGTATCTTGCTATAATTATGAATACAATAGACAAAGTAATATCTTTTTTAATAATATTTGGATTTATTATACTTGCATTTGCACATTCATTACATCTCTTATTGCGATCAGCATATGAAACTTCAGGTACTTGATCAAATTATATTATTAATTACAAGGCAAACTCGATAATCTGAATAGATCCAGGGGATTAGTAAAAATTTTAAAATGTTCGGTTTACAAGATTTAATTAGTAAATTCAGCTTATTTATTATGTAACCAACTTTGGTTTATCAAGTTTTACTTAGTCTTTGGTTTATCAAATTTTGGCTTTATCAAGTTTGCCTTGTATGTTACTATTTTAATCTAAAATAAATGTCACCGAATGAAAATAGGGAAATAGTATTATAAATTTAATATTATATCATTATACAAATTTTTAGATTCAGATCTAAATATGTTTTCACAATTTGGTTCTGCAATTCTTGCATCTTATTATATTATGATTACAGGTAACTTTATAATGTCAACATTTAATTTTTTTTATAATCTTTATTAACATTACATTATGATTATTTATTATATTAGGAGATTCTACTCCTATTACTTCATGGGTTTCAAATGAAAATATTATAATAATGCTTTTAATGATTTTATTTTCATTTTTTATAATAATTTACTTGATGAATTTATTTATCGGTATTCTTGGTAATTTAATCAATGAGGCTGATAATCGTCAAGCTTACTTGGCTATAAAAAGAGAGGTATAATAATTTTTAATTTGATTAAAATTTTAATAACTGTTTTGAATTTTCTATAACTTATATATATATATTTATTTTAGATTCTTGTTGAAATTGAATTATTTTATTTATTACCTTATCAGAAAAGAAAATACAATTGGTTTCCAGAAACTTTGTAAGTGTTTTTTTTTAAAAAAAAACTTCTTCAAAAAAAAAAAAAAATTTAAATATTTGAAAGATTTTTATTAACTTGTTTAATTTTTTTTTATAAAGCTTTTATCAAGTTCATATTACCAAAGTTCGTGAATTAATTCAAGATATTAAGTCTGATAGTTGGAATAAATCTACAAAACCTTTTATTTCTAAAGCTGTTTTAGATATTTTAAAAGATGAATTTGAAAAAACTTCATCAAAAACATCAAAAGAAACTCAAACCGAATAAGGTTGAAGTTTAATAAATTAAAAGGTTTTGTTAAAAACAACAAACAACATACAAGTTATTTTATGTTTTATTTTATATTTATATTTTATATTTTTATACAGTATTTATATTTTTTTACTATTTATTATTAAATATAATTTTTTATTACAAATTGAAATAAAAATAAAGTATATATATACATTAATATCTTTGCTTTATCATATTTTAACTAATTAATTGTAAGGATTTGTAGGCTCTGAATTATATTACTATTATAATAAAGTATAATACAAATTAAAAAAGTTAAAGCATTAGTATTAGAGACTATAAAAATAGATTAACATATCAAATATATAGAATTATATAGTATTTTAATTTGCAATTTAAGTTTTGAATTAATTTTTAAATTTAGCTATCTAAATTAGAGATATTTACTCAAATTAAACAAAAAACTTAAATAACAAATCTAAGATAATTATTAAATAATAATATATAGTATACTATTATACTTTAATATAACTATATACTGCTTTATAAATTTTAGTTCAGACTAATTTAGCTATATTACATATACTCAAATTTGATTTACTATAGAAGCTATTTATCTTTTAAAAGTAGTTTATTATACAAATAGTATATTTTATCTTTTGATTAATAATTAGTAACTTCTAGCTACTATTAAAATCTTAAGTCTTTTAGTATAGTAGATATTTAATTTGATTAGTTAATAAATATAAACAATAAACATGATTACTAACTAATCAAATTAATCACAAAATCTAATATGTAAATAGCTAATATAATAAAGCTTTAGTTTTTACTTATTATAATCTAAGCAGTAATTTAATTTTATTCTAAACTATTATAGGTTATATAAAATAAATTATAACTTTTAGTTTATATAATACTAATTATTAAGGTCTAGTAATCTTAGTATAGTAGTTAGGTTCTAGACTGTCATACAAAAGGCCTGAGTTCAAATCCTACTATTAATATATTTGAATAATTACCTAGACTTTTGTATTCAACTTATAGTAAACTCTATTTATTTTTGGAATTACAACTCTGTAAATCATATTGTACTAATATCAATTAGATATTAGAAGTATAATGCAATGCTTGAGTTATATTGCACAAATAAATCTTAATAGGATCTATAAGTAGAGAATCTGTATAGTAGAAATCTCAAGTTTGATAAAGTAGTACAAATTTTAATAATCAAGCTAGTTGATACTTGATCTAGTAAAAACTTGAGTACAAAGGATATGAAATCAATAAATGCAAGTAAGACTATTATGTAAATTTGCAGTTTAGTGCTGACTACAAATAGCAACACCAACTTGGCTTAGTAGCTAACTAGATTAGGAGGATCTACTTCATAAAATATTTAGCTAGAACTTATAAGACTATATCTGGTAAAGAGCTATAGCAAGAACTGAGTTCATACAAATATCAATAAGGGTCTAAGCCAGATGAATCTGTGAAATAAACACATGACTACTCTAGTAGAAATTACTTTTAAAGTTAACTAAAACTCTGTGTACTCACAATATGTTAAGCAATATGCATTCTAAGAAGATCTAAGCTATATGATAAATAGATCTATATATAAGTCAGCTAGCTTAAGTAGATAGATATAGTAGTGATGTTAGTTTGTGATAGAGAAAAGAATTAATGATCAGAGTATTTAAATAGGTAACTCATAGACAAATTGCAGATATAGCAGTATAGTATAGAACCAACAGATAGTTGATCATCTATATAGCAGACTACTTAAATTAGATAATGACTAAAGTTGTAAATATAGCTTGTTGTATATTTATTATACAGTACCGGACAGCAAGAAACATCCACTTTTTATATATAAAATACAAAAATGCTTATAACTTATAAACAAATAACTTTAAAAAAAATCTGTCTTACAAATTTGTTGCTTTTAGTCTAAACTACAATTCTGTTAAAATAGATTTTATTTTTTATTATAAATTTAAAAAGTTATTAGAGTTTAAAGTTTATATGTAATTAAAAATTTGGCATTTAATATAAAAAAAAATTGTTTTTGTATATTTTTAACCAATCAAAATTTTTGTTACACAAAAATTAGCCAATTAGATTTGAGAATAGCTCTTAAAATTTGGCGCTTTTAAAAAAAAATTGGATGTTTCTTGCTGTCCGGTACTATATTTATTTTATTTTATTTTTATTTTTATTTTTTTTTTTACTTTATACAAATGCTATCAGCTAACTTTATTATTTCATAAATTTCAGAAGTGATACATATTGTGAGAGTACAACTAGCTACACGTACAATTTTAGATTGTTTATTTTAAGTAGTTTGCTCGAAGGTTCTACACTAGCTGCCATATCTGAAATCTCTTAGAAGATTCCCTATTTAAACTCTCTGACTCTACCTCATTTACCGAAAGTATTACTTTTATAGTAAACCTAAACTCTGTACTACTTCATATTTGGAGTACCCAAGCTGATATTAGTTGCAACTTTACTATTATAGGTCCAGATCTTATCTAAATAAGTCCCACTTCAATGCCCTCTAACAGATGGGTGTTATGATATCCAACTATGCTATGCTATATCTCTATTTTAGCTTGTATATACTCTTATTTGATATTCATATAAATCTAGTTTCAGCTGTAGCCCTTCACCAGTTTAGACTTCTGTATTCTTCCAAATATTTTACAAATCAGATCCTCCTAATTTAGTTAGCTACCAAGCCAAGTTGGTATTGCTGTAATACCTAATATCACAGACTTACTCGCACCTACTTGATCTATATCTTCGTATTCAGAAATCTTTGCTAGATCAAGTATTAACTGCATGACTATCGAAATCTATATGACTTTATCTAACTCAGAATTTCTACTATGCAGGTCCTCTGCCTATAGATCCTATTTCAATTTATTCATATAATATAACTCTAACATTCTGTTACACTTCCAAAGTCTAGACAATATTGGTGCAATGTAATTTACAGAGTTACAACTCCAGAAATAGACAGAGTTACTATAAGTTAAGTATAAGGTTTGAGTAATTATTCAAAGTGTCATCAGAAGGATTTGAACCCCAAACTTATTGCATGGTGGTCTAACAACCTATCTACTATACTAGATCACCAGACCTTTATCTTTAAAGGATTTAAATATGAAAAGAAGTAATAAGAAATTTACATTAGCAAGGTTATATAAGATTTTGTTTAATCTTGTATCATTAAGTCTAAGCTACAAGAGTTTTTTAATTTCAAGTAGTCTTCTTTTAATTTTATTATTAAACAAATATTTTCTTTGTTTTTTTTTCTTTTAATTACTGAGTAAGAGATTATTTCACCAGAAGATTTATATTTTTTTTTATCAGATAGTTCATAATCAAGATCATATTCTGAAGCTTGACTAAAGTCAATTACAGTTTTTTTAACAAGTTCCTAAGGATCTTGTTCAGAATTATATTCATTAATATCATTATATTGTAAATATATAAGTTATAAGGCTTTTTGTTCAGTTGGTAAATATTCTTCTATGAGTAGAATATCTAACACAAGTAGTTGATTATTTTGATTAAAGTTATTATCTGACTATGGATTATAGAAAATATCTTCTATTTGGACAATATTTTTTATAATAAATATATTAGATAGGTGTAGTAAGCTAAAAGAAATGCAATAGGATATGTATATAATAATTTGAAAATATTATATAGTAATGATTAAAAGAGAGTTTTTGATCAAATTTTGAGATTTTAACTTCACTCAAAATTTTAATAAAATAATAGAGTTTGTGTATTAAGTAAAAGTTGTTCAGAGAGCTTGTGTAATCCTAAAGATGTTGAGATCTTGTTAATTGGATATCTGAATAGTGAGATATTAGAGTTTTGGCCTTGTATCATATGACTTTAAGAGAAAAAAGATCTGCAAAGAATTTGCAAGAGACATTTTTAAATTATTATAACAAATTTAAACATAGATATTGGGTTCCAGAGTGATTTTTCACTAATATATAGCTTAGTATAAAAGGTATACTAGATATTTATAAATATGTAGTAAAAATTTGAAGTCAAACAAATTAAAATTAATAGAGTTTCCTTAATAGCAAAAAAGAGTAATTATTTTTATTCAAAATTTAATAAAATTATTTCTTATATCTACACTTTGGCTTATAGGGAATTAATAAAAAATATGAAAAGAAATAATTCTTAAGATTCAAAAACTTGTGTTTGTTTTAGTTGTATATAATATAAGTCAGCTAATTTTAAAGTTTTTAAAGAAAAGAAGAAAGTACCATCCTCTTGCTCAGTTGAGTCAACAAGTTTTTCTAATTCTTGTTCCAAATACTTTTTATATGTAGAGGCTTTGAGAGTAAGTATATTCTCAATATATGCTAGTGCTTTGGATATATTAATACCTCTTCTAGATATTCAGATTAAGAATTCCTCTTGTTATTTCTTAGAAAGAGAGTTCTAAAAGGGCTTTTGAAGAGTTTAGAGAGGTTTTTGATCTAAGATAAGCTTAGTAGAAAAGTTGTATAATTGTTTTTTAGGTATACTATATTCTCAAAATTCTAGCTTAATCAAATTAAAATTAATTGACTTGTCTTAGTAACAACTAGTATTTTTTACAAATAAACCTGTCCTTAGGTTTTTTCTTTATACTTGTAGAGTTTGAGAAAGTATCTCATAGTCACTACTAATTTGTTATGTTACTTCTACTTCTTTAAAGAAAGCAACTAACTAGAGAGACTAATAACAGAAAATACTTTATGTAATATCCTTGTTACTGTATTTTGTCAAAGTCTTTAGAGTATTTTTATAAAACTTAACAAAAAAGATTTAGGTAATTTGTAATTATGAAAGAGATAACAATTAAA